GATCTAAATGCAAGTGTTGAAAAAAGCTGAGGGAACATGTAATAACACTCCTTTATCCACCGAAAGGATGGTTGCAAAGGGATAGGAAACTCAGATTTGCACAAGCAGAACAGAAAGAACAAGAGGTAATGGGTTGAATCTACAGGGAAGGAAGAGTTAGGTTAGACATCAAGAAAAGTTTTTGTATTTGTCATCAGGACAGAAAAAGCACTGGAGTAGACTGCATGGAAAGGGCATGTACCTGGATGTCTTCATGGGACTTCAGGAATAGGTTCTTTGAGTATTGGTAAGGAGACAAGTCATCCTGCATTCAATCAGGAGCCTGAGATAGCCAGTTTCTACACAGTAGTGATGAACTGTTGCAATGAAGCTACAACCTTCATTTTTTGCACTTGTTACACAAACTCTTGTACACTCCCCCATAAAAGTCTTGTAACTACTGCCGGTTATATCCATCTCCAAAGGATACATCCCCTCCATGAGATGGTCACCTTCCTGTCTCACTATACACTGCGATATGGCAGCCATTATTCACCTTATTTTCCATCTCATCTTACCAAGTCTTTTCCAATTTTTGCTGTAATGCCCCAGAGGCCTTCAAATATTTGTCTAGAAAGGTCTCCTGTAACAGGAGGAGAAGAGGTCCACCCAAAGGAACCATTTCAACTGCCTTTCCAAATGGACTAAACTTGGCCTTTAAAGAAGAAAATTGTCCCCTAAAACACTATATATAAATTCTTTTAAAAGCTTTTGAGTTTAAGGTACTTTCCACCCAAATGCACCCCCCTAAATGGCAGGGCAATGCAGAAGCATCTATAAAGACAGCACACAGAGAGGTAATGGAGAACATGGACCACCGTGGACAAAACATGAAACAACATGGGATGATTTTCAGCTTGAAGTCAGGATATACATAGGCACATGTAGCTCATATGTTATTATTAAAGCTCAGGCTTATAATGGTTTTATTTTGGCTGGGGCCTCTAAGAATTTGCTGCTGGTAGGAGGGAAAATGGCCAAAGCATATTGCTGAAATCAGAGGCCCTTTCCCAGCTTGGACAGGGCTTTTGTGGCTCCAGGATGGAGGCTGGGTCTTTCTGCCTTCCCCATCCCAGCACCACACTATCATCCTCTCAACTTCATTTCACACTTGCCCTTCATCCTCTTCTCCTAACACTGTCCCCATCATCACCTTTTAGCACAGACACCAAGCAACCTCCCTTCTGCCCTCTTGGAAGACGGAAGACATGCAGTCTCGAACTTTGTCTTACTGTTCAGTGGAAATATGGAGCATTCTTAATCTTACTGGTTTATGCTTCCTCTACATGATTAGTGACCTCTATGCTAACCTGCCTTTGCAACCTTTTTTCAAGCTTTTATTCCATCCTCCAGTCTAAGCATGTTCCCAGACATTCACCGACCTGCAGTGGCACTGAGCTGAAAAGCTGAAATAAAGGCCCATGTCTCTCCTTGCAGGACAGAGTTATTGAGAAATTATCTAGAGTGTGTACGAGGCAGAGTGATGGGGAGTAAAATCCCACTGTCTTTGTACTGCTCAGACCCTCTGCAGCATATAGATCATTTGTCAGTGCCAGTTTAAGGTAGTCCCTATAAGCAGGCTGTTTTGCATTTGAAGCACTCACAGGACATGATGGTTTGGCTAAAAAACTATGCATTTTACATGTAATCACCAGGATAATTTGGCTGTATATTGTGTTCCCACAACTTAATATTCTACCTACAGATGCATGATCAAGAAGAGATTCCTTAACTTTGACAGGGCACATCACATTATACTCACTTTATTATTGGAAATGATCACCCCAGGGTGCAAAAGGAAGCAAAGACATAGTTTCATCATACTATTTTTTTAAAAAAACCCACACATTTACTGCAGTATGGGGTATTCCAAAGCTACAGAGCGCCACTTGCCAGTGGACAAGTGGCTAAATTTTACCCAGATTGTGCAAGAAAGAAATAACTGCTTAATCTAGTGTGCTGTGGAAAAGATGGTGGAAAATTCAACTTCTAGGCACATGGTTCATATCCTCAAGTACAAAGTCACTTTAGGTAGTGAAATATAATGTTGTAAATGCTGTACCCATGGATGCAACCAGAAACTCCTGATTACAGCTACACATCCTCCCTTAGACAGGATCTTGTTCTGGACTCTTGACCTAACATTAAGCACACAAGGAAACCTTGACAGTTTTGATGCTTGTTAGGACCAACAATGAGGTTTTTTCCTCTACTTTAATGGTTATTACAACCTATTAAAGTTTCCTATTCTTCAACTCTGCAAAGACTTGAATGTGCTCCCAGTTGAGCAGACCAGAAAAATATACTCTTGAATCTCAACAAGCACTTGATACAGTACATTTATCTGGGAACTGATTGATATCACATCTATTTTGGCATTATGATTTTTTTTTATCCTCCATATAAATGCCCTATTTCTCAATCTGGAAGGAAAAGGATCAAGTGATGGCCCATAGCTATTTAATAGCTATAAAATAAAACCTATAAAATAAAAGTGAAATGAATTATCAAACCATAAACTAAAGTTTGGTGTTTAAAATGGGCCATGGCTTTAAAAATTCAATTACAGCTTTAATAGGAACAAGTTTACTCAATATTTTAATGACCTTCTCTCATAATGTTTTTTTTTCCTCCTTTGCAAAACCTGGCATTACCAAGGATACATGGCAAGCTTGCCTTTCCTCTAACTACTTTAAGATTGATTAGGAAACAGAAATATTGATGCATTTATCCAAAATAATTAAATGAGGCAAAAAATAGCACACAGAAACTTGTCTCAGTAGAAAACTGGAGTTGATTGAGATTAAGAAAGGTTACATTAATGTTCCTGGATTAAAACCTTAGGACCATTAAGTGAATGTCAGCAATGGAGAATACTCTGAATAGGAAAGCCATCTAATGTTTTCTTAACTCACTGGTGAGCTATTTCCTGAGGTTTAGGCTAGGGATCTTGTGCAGATTTGCATGATACCAACACACAGACGGGTCCTACAGGGCATCTCAGCTGAGAACAGCAGATGAAGAGATCATCTCAGAACATCAATCTGCACTTGCTGAAGCGCAAATAGAAAGTCAGGTTTGTGTTTGGTTTTGTCAAATTGGTATTGTCATGGTTTGGGGGATACATTTAGCAGTGGGCTGCCAGCAGTGCTGGTTTCTTGCCCTCCTGAAGGCTGTCTAGCTAGACTCAGTCCTAGCTCCTGCTGGTTTCAAGGAGACCTTAAATGAGGAAAACCCTTAAGGGCAAGACTTCAGGGGCTGCCATTCCATGCAACAGCAGCTTTCAGGGCTGTTGTTTGAAGGGCTTTTCTTGTCGCTTTTACTTTCTTCAGGAGACATAAGGATTTTGACAAAGTCTCTTAAAAATCAGGGGGGGAGGGGTGCTAAATGAACTAGAGACAATTTTGGTTTGGAAACAACCTATATCTTCATTTTAAACAGTGCTTCTGAAATGCACAGTAGCATCAGGTCCAAGTTGCAATCAGATAGGTCTAGGCTGATCTTTGTGGAGCCCAGCTGATTTCATTAGGACCCACCAGGAGCTCTATAGCCTACCCTGACAGATCCAGCTGTGGAATCAGCACCACTGATAAATTTAAAGCATTGCAGGTGCGGGGAAAAAAAAAAAAAAAAAAAAAAAAAAGGTGTTTCTGGGAGAAAGAAGGGAAACTGCAATTGAAAATACATGATTCTCAAAACTACATCCAAGGGAAATGGAACAAAGATCTTAAAATATTACCCCTAGATGTTTCCCCCCTGTGGTTGCAATTATTCCCAAAGTACCCTGCTTAAAATAGGTTTTCAAACCATGCAAGACTAATCATTGCAATTTGGAGATCTAAGTAGGCACTTACCATGCAATTCACAATTAGTTAAAAATGGTAGAAGAATCTCAGTCATGTTGGCACAGGAGATTTAAAAAAAAAAAAAAAGGCAGGAAAACATTTTTCCGTGCAAGAATGACATGTGATGGGAGAGTAGAGGAAGATAATTGTCATAACAAAGGGAATATGTTATTATTTATTGGCCACACTTAAGCACTGGGATCTTGGATTATAGTATCTGGTGACAAATGCTGCTTGAAATCTTGTAAATATTTCTTAAAAGGTAAGATAACTGAGTAATTCTGAATGTTCTCTGCAACCAACACTTTCAAAATTCAGTTCTGGGAAGCGGAGTGACATTTTCTTTTTGTCCTGTAGAAAAAGTAAGATGCAACATCTAAAATCTTGTTCTCTTCAGGCTTCATCCTACTACTATTAGAGCAATATTGCAGGTAACTGTGGCAAGAGAATTGTTAAAGCCCACTAATAACCTAAAATTTGGTATGAGGCAGTCCAGACTGTCCCCCTGCCCTCTACGCTGACTCAAGCCCACCCAGCACGGGGGCTGTCCCACTGGAGACCCCTCAGCCTTTTTGCAGCAGATACAAGGACTGTTCCTCCTGAGTGATTCCACCCTCCTGAGCTCGGCAGGGTCACAGCACTCAGCTCCTCACAGGATTAAACCATTTCTTTGCCAAAGTGACAGCTGTGAATAGGCACTTAAGGTCTAATTTCTACATTCTTCAGTATTTTAACTTACATTTAGCCAAAACACTGACACATTTATCTGATTTGTCTCTATTAATTTCCTGGTTCCCTTTTTATTTTCTTCCTCCTCTTGCAGATTCACTGGGTTATGAACTACAGTAATAACCCTTCTAAACCAATTTTTCTTTTTACAAAGCTCTTAATTTTTTTTTATCACTCCACTAGTGCTGGGATGCTGATTACCCCCCTTTTTCCCCTACCCTACCCAGCTCTAGAAGTGCATGCAAACAAAAAGGGGAAAAAAAAAAAAAAACCCTCAGCAATAACTTGTCTGATTCTGGCAGCAAGACAAATCTAGCACCACACAGCAGGCAGGCAGAGAGTGCACTGCTCATCCTTTCGGTTTTGTCAGTGTATGGGAATGCTGGACATCACCACACAGCGAGGGATTCGGCCGAAAGCACTCCTCCTCGGCGTCTGAACCCTGCTGCTTTCCCCTCCCCCCGGTTGGAAGATACAGGTAAAAATAGAGAAATGCTTTAGCTAACTGGATTCCGTGAAAATATAAAGCAGTTAGAAGAAGCCCGGACAGCCTAATCTTATTCCTAGCAGGCAATAGAAGTAAACCACAGTGTACGGGCTGATAGCTACTGTATACATAATACCCTCAGATACCGTAACTTGCATGTGATTCTTCGCATTACAGCAAATAAATTGTCACAAGTGGCAGTAAAGATTTGTTTTTTTGGATACACGTTGTTCAAGTTGCCTTTATAAATATTTATCATTATTTACATAATTATACCTTTCTCTGACAGCAGGCTTTACAGCAACTTTGAACCACAGTAAACAGGCAGACTGGATGCCTCCCTTTTAGCCAGACCGTATCTATCCTGTGCTATATGTACATCTATTAGCAGCATGCTATGAGCATATCACTCATTTCATAACGTAATTTATAGTTACATTACAAAAGAATCCATCTACAAACAGCAACTGTGTAATATTGATATAGCATTTAGGGACAGAAAATAAATTTAATGACTCAGATATTACACAGTATCGATAATCTGCAGAAAAAAAGTATGTTTGTGTAAGCAAGCACAATTTATTATAGCAGGAACCTAAACAGAGAACGTATTTGTCAGAAACTTTCTTTAAAAAAAACCAAAACAACTTGACATCCCAAAATTCTTTTCTTCCCCACAGATGTCAGAAGCCGAGACAGACAAGGTAAAAATCAAACCAGCAGAAAGTTTTGACCATGACAAGAAAAATATTTCTTGGCTGAAGAATGGTAAGTTACATTGCTGAGTTATTAGTTACTGGTTTGTGTTCAGAGATCTTTCTCATTTATTAAAAATTCTTTTTTGAAGAAAAAGGCTCAAGAATACCTTATAGGCTTAAATATGACCAGGAATTTCTACCACACAAATTCCATAGCTTGTCTTCTACAAAGCACGCATGTACATTCGCTTACAGTGCAGAAGGGCCTAAATTACCAAATTTTAAAGTAACCTGAAAGCTCGTTTTTCTATATCCTTGCATTTCTGGGGAAGTTTTATTTGACCTGAACTATAAGACACTAAAAGGTATGGATTGTCATCTTAATTCTTATAAAAAGTTTTTATTGGATTAAGGTTTGGTTTTCTCAAACACAAGTAAAGATCAACTCTGAATCTTTGGATTTGACAGGGTGTTATCTTAGAATAAAGTAGCATCAGTTGTCAGCAGTTTATGAAATATAGACTCTCAGAAGTAGAGAAGTCATAAAAAACAAGTAGAGGAGACCTTTCTGGTTTTAAAGGCTGAAAAATGACAGGTATTAAGTAATCATTTGTGTCAGATTCTGGTATTTCAAATACTACATTGTAGTTAAACTATTTTAGAAGAAAAAGACACGATTTCTTAAAAGTTTTCTTATTGCATGTCCCTGTACATATAAAGAGGGAAGGCTCTTAGGATATATTTCTTGCTGAAAAAAATTGATTTGGCAAGTTAGTACATAGCTTATTACGTCTTCATGTATGTTTGTTGGTCATAAGAGTCACTATTTCATACAGAAGAACATGAATTAAACACTCTCAAAGCAGAGACCGTCAAGATGCACATAATTAAAAATAAATGTCTATGGTTAGGTGCAAATTATGGATTTTAATGAGAACAGTTATATTCTAATCCTAACAAAAGTATTTTTGGAAGGCTCAACAAGTGACCTCATATTTTGAAAACATTAACTATGGGGGTATTGAGGAAAAGTCTCATTTATAGCCACTATTAGGTAATCTGTAAAATGTGCATCACTATTTTAAGCTCATGTAGTTAATTGTACATTAACTCTTCTAGGTAGCTGCAACAGAGTTTGCAATAAAGTAGGCCTAAATTAATGTCTCTGCCTTGCAGTCTTCATTGTTTATGCAGCAATGAAAATTGCACATTCAAGCAGAGCTGACCGGCCAACACACAGACTTTGGCCGGACACCCAAAACCCTCTGCTTGCAAGGTGTCGGCTAACTTCAGGAAAAACTCTGCAAACAGAAGATCTGCAGTTTGCACATCGCAGGGAGCAATACTGCTGAGCGAGAGCTGGGTCTGATCCTGCAAGATAGCATTGCACTTAGCTTGGAAACAGCAAGCATGTAACTGAATTGAATATTTATTCCTTCAGAAGATAGTAGAGCACAAGACAAAACTTGACAAAAGGATTATAAAGATACAGAGGCTATTAACTGGTCTGTGCCTCTGAGAAGACTGATGATAAGGACCCTCAGTCCCATACAGTTATTTATCTTCTGGTCCAGACCTACTCCAGTAGGCAGGTGGCATCTCTCACACCTGTACATTCTTGAGTTTATTTTACTTAGTGATGCTAATCCACCAAGGTTTATTTCTCCACTTCCTAAGGAGAGACATCATCCAGAGTTTCTAGGTCATTAGTAATGTTTTGATTGTTTTGTACCTGGAGGAGCTATAATGTCTTTTAGAAGGAGCCAAACATTGTCTATTGGCACCTCTTCTCTCTAAAGTGCCACAGAGCAGAATTAGGCCTTGGAGGTCTTGTACAGCAGCTGAGTCAATAAATAGCTGAAATGTCTCTCACAATAAAAGCAAGTTTTCCTTAAGAATAGAGACATTATTTTATCCTATATGAAATTTGCTTTTCAAAAGTTTTGTTATTGTTTCTTTGCTTTAAGCACTTCTATGGTACATGGTGGGTTTTTAGAATATGGTGAACCAAATTGGAGCAGAAGCTTAACTTCTATGTTTAAATGTTTTAAAAATACCTCATGTATAGATTTCAGGCATTCCAATAAACAATGAATTGTGGAGAACAGACTTGTACTGTTTCCGTCAGGCACAGTAAGAAGACTATATGTTCTTTTAGCATCCAGTTTTAAAGAAAAGTTATTTTTATTCATGGTTTTGTATTGATTATTTGTTCCTTCTAAAAGAAACAATCATGAACCACATAGTATCAGAAATAAACAAAAAAATATAGACTAGGCTGTGGCTTTAGTATCTTTCCTAGACTTCATTTTTTTTCCTAATGCTTTGCAAAGTAATAACTCAGGGCCCGGTAGTGCAGTAGGACAACATCAAACTAAGGTACCTATTACTTTTTTGTTGGCTTTCAACATTAAAAACTGATTAATCAGGGCAAAGGGAAAGTGGATTTTAAATTTGCTGCCAGATATTTTATACTTTTTTGGGGAAGAAGATATCTTGCTTCTGTCTTGGAGCCTCTAAAAGCAGAAATCAAAGCCTCATTCTGAAGGAAAACTTCCTCCACAAAGCAAAACAAGAAACTAAGCCAGCCTTGTGAAAAGTATTATAGAAAAGCATTAGGTCATGCATATAGGATTGTATCTTACCACATGAGCAGGAGGAGCATCAGCGGTCCTACTCATGCCTCTACCTCTCAGTAAGTCATTTGCAACCGCTGCCACGTTCCTGCACCCCTGCCATGAATGCACCAGAAGACTGATGGAAGTTAAAGATGACCCAGGGAAAAAATAGAATGTTGGACAGCACAGTCTTGGAGAGAAACAAACTTTGACATGATCATGGACCTCAACTGTATTTTTTTTAAATGGACAATGGCATATTTGCCCTCTCCTTTTATTTCTTGCTTATCCTACAAACCTTTTTTTTTTTTTTTTGGTGAGGAGCCCAAGGTCCTCCACAGTGCCTAACAGATTGTAGAACTATAATGAAATAACAATAACAATGGAAACAGAGAAGCAGATGGGTAAATGTGTGTTCTAGATTTGCTGGACTTTAAGTCCTCAAACATCTCTATGCCTCCTAAGGCACTTTGCAGTTAAGTCTGGATGTGGACAGCATTAGAGACTCGCTGAGTTGAGTGTGAGTGAGGATGGTGAAATGATCACACCTATCCCAAGATGTCTCACAGAGAGGAATATACACCAGCAATCTTTTCTGATAGTGTGACATGTTCCTCAAGACTATTATTTCTCAAGATCACACAACAGATGAGAAAACCTGTATTTGGAGGGTTTGCATCAGACCATCACATGCAAATCAACCAGAATCTGTATGAACAAGCACTGAGAAAAGGACGTTCTGTTTGTCTGACCTTAGCACTGATGAGAACCAACTCAAGAAAAGCCTGAAACATAAATGTAAAACCAGACAATGACTTATTTTGTGTAGGAGTGAAGGCAGTTATTTCTGCTTGCTGCTTCTTCCCATGGGAAGAACTCCTTTGGATGGAGATAAAGAGTTCCCCATGCCAACACCTACAAAACAACAGGGCAGAGTGAAACAGGGGTTCATGTGCAAAGAAGCAGTTGCAAAGTGATCTGCATTTTTGCCCTGGAAAGCTAAAGCAGGAACCCTCAGCACATGTATTATCCCCAATTACACATTTCTTTTTCCCCCCAGCACACACAAAATTACATGTGACAAAGTGTATAGAATATTAATATGCACGTATAAGTAACAGATGACCAGTGTAACTTAATATTAGAGAAACATCCTCTGCGTGGGCCTGTGTTCCCACGTTTCACGCACCCACAAGATACGCAATAAGCGGACCACGACACCCCAAGAAACAAACATCTCCGTGGGCTCCTAATCAAGCGCAGTTCTTAGAGGGTGCTATGAAATCTGGAAGCTCCACAAGACATGCCTTTAGAAATGCAGTACCCAAGGATGAGTAACACTCCCAGGGATGAATCAGGGATGCTCCCACCTTGCACAGCACAGCCATGAGCACAGAGCTGCCTCTTCCACACGAACCAGGGGCTCTTCCCATCATGGTGGTGATTTAGTGGCAGATTAGCAGCCATCTGGTGGGAAGGGAGGTCAAAGCAGAGCTAAATTCACACCAGCCCCAGCATGTGGCTTTTGGAGTTCCTTACAAACATTTAATCTTTTGGTATCACTTGATGATTACAGCCATATGGATACATGGAAGCAGGCAGGAGCTTATCTGACTGACATAAAGCTGTAAAAGGTGACACTGATTTTGCACAGGGACCAGCAGCGGTCTGTTCACTATTTCTGCAACCACTGAAAATACAAAGGAAAATGTGTGAGGGCCTAATACTGCCCTCCTACGGTTTCGTCCCAAACTGGCCACAGCAGCCTAGGAACACAGATCCAAGTTGCACAGAAATTAAATTTCATTTCAGGATATTTTCACACAAAGCCCTCCTGTTTTATGCTGCCCAGCTGTGTACACAAATGCCCTCCATATATAACTTCCAGTGAAAAGTTAATGAAATGGCTTCCTTGCTCTCCTGCCAAAAATATAACTGAAATCCTAATCTCAAGACTTTCTCCAAAATAGCCCCTTTCTGCACTGAAATTCTCATAAATCAGGAACATTTTTGTCTAAAATAAGCCTGGTTTCATTGTCTTGCAAATAGTAAAAAGTGTCTAGCCCCGGTTTCTTTAATCGGCTGCTCTAGCCAGCAGATTTTTGCTGTAGGGTGAAATTCAGCCCTGTGCTGAGGGTCAGTACAAGGTCAGCACTTAAACCATAAAATAAGGCTTAAGTGGTAAATAAAGCCCCTGTTCAGGATTATATTTCACCCCGCCAAGGACTACAGTTCATATGAAAAGGGAGATTTACTCCTATCACAGACCTGGCTGTAGTGACATTATTCAAATAATACCTTATTCCAGAAGTAAATCCATTGGGTGAGATTGTGCCACATTTCTTAATGGTGCATCCCAGAAATCTGGTACAGGAGCAGATTTCTATTTCCAACTGCACAACACCAAAACACACCACAGCCTGTTTCTTGGGTTACGTTCCTGGGGGTAACA